TTTTTTTTAAAATATAACCTATAAGAAAAAATTTAATTTTTTATTATATATTTAAATGTGATTGTTTAATTTATTTTAATAATTTAAAATTAAACAAAAAAGAGAGAGGATACAAAAATATGTATTATTCATAATCACTAATTACATATATATGTTAATCATATTAGGTAATTCCGTAGCTTTTATTTAAGGAAATAAAATATATTGTTTTATACCTATCAGAGTTGTTCCCTTAAAAATTTCTATATATTATAGTCCTAAATGTAAGAAATTAAATGTTACATTATTTCATTCCTAGCAAAGTTGGTCCATTAAAAAATTAAAGCTGAGAAGCTCTGTGAGCTTGACACGTAAGCATGCTCTCCAAGGTTGTGCATTTATGAATGCTTCAGGATTAATACATAAGGGATTTAGCGATAATTAGGTGTTTTATAGGGGATTATTGAGTAAGCGGACTTCATGCCAATTTTTTGAATGTTTAGACCAATCTTTTAAAAACTTGTTCCAAAAAAATCGTTTTGTCTAAGATTTAGGTTTGATTTGCATCTATGCCCATTTTTGAAGGACTGATACTAATATATATGGACAATTAACTAATTTTAGATTGTACTAGGTGACTGGCCCGCACCATGTGCGGGCATATAATATCTAAAAAAATAAAATTACAGTGTTTAGATTTAGAAGTTGTGAGAGAGAAAAGTTATTGTGTTTAGTGATTCCGGGCGGCGGAGTAGGTTTCCACACCGTCGGTCCGGCTTTAGATTGTCCTTGGTTTTATTTCTCGTTTATAGATATTTGGTAGAGAAGGTTTGGTGTATCTCTTGTTTCGGTTTCAATAGGGTGATGTTTTTATTCTGGGAGGCGGAAGCTTATACAGATCCGTCGAAGAGTGTCTCTACATTAGGGTTTTCTCAATTTTGGGTTTCGACCCATGTCGGTTTTTATTGTAATGTCCTTTTGTTAGATCGCGTATTTTGGGCTTTGATCCTTTATTAATCAAATTAAGATGGCAAAAAAAAAAATTTAGAAGTTGTGTATCTTACTATATTGTCAATAAGTGAAATTGTGTAGTATATAAGTCTTTTATTTAGAAGTTAACTAAAGCTTGTCGGTATATCTCATTTGTCTTAGCTTTGTTTGTTTTGCAAATATTTTTCCTTGAACCGCATGTAACTATCATTATTATTATTTTTTTTTTTTTGGAATGAATGTAAAATTTATTCAATGAAAACAGTGTTACATCAAGTGCCACAGTTTTTGAAGAAAATAAAACTCCAAAACATAAACGAACTAAAACCCAAGAAAACAAAACCATAAAAACCCCATTACTCTTCCTCAAGCTTGACCATGAGGAACAAGTAACTATCATTATTGATTGTTTAATTAAATTGTATTTCACAATTTACAGAAATAGATAGAAGGATAATATAGTTTCTTTCAACTATTTATTAGGTGTTAATCAAAAAGTAATTGCAAGAGATATAATGTTATTTTATTTGAGAAAATAGATAATAATTAAAGCCAATAAAATAAGAACCAAATCCAAGAAATAACAGTAAGTGAACTGGTGTTCAACAAAAAAAGAATAAATTCTTCTTCCATTTCTCCAGCTTCACTTGCTTTTGACTTTTTTTTTAGTGTTTTTTGTTGACAGAGAACTGATCCACAATAGCATTGTCTCGCGCTCTCATTGGCCTCTTTTTTAGACAAAAGAGTTGGTAAAAACCACCAGAACCCTCGGATATTTCCTTTAAAATTGTAACAATAAAACTTTTTGAAGAGAAAAGAGATTTGAAATGAGATCTCTTGCCAATGTGGATGTAAACATTTTAATATTAAATAATGTGAAATCAGTTTATGAGGTAATGCTGCAAACTCTTATCTTATCATTCACAAAAGTTTTGTAGAGAATCTCACCACATATAAAAAAAGTCAAGCATATTGCGATTGTTCTCTAGGGTGCTGATCCTCAACATCATTGCCTCACTCTTATTGGCTTTTCTGTTAGACAAAGGAGTTGTTGAAGAACCCCCCCCCCCCAAAAACCCTCAGATATTTACTCTGAAGACTGCAACATTAAAGCCTTTTGAAGAGAAAAGAGATTTGAAATGAAATCTTTTGCCAATGTGGTTGTAAACATTTTAATATTTTTCTAATAATAAGAATAGTAACAGTTCAAGAGGCAAAGTTAAAAATGATTTCATTTCTTACTTCTTTATCAACAAATACCATTTCAATAGTGTCTCCGATCTCTTTGCTATAATTCTTTTGAAGACGAATAATCCTAGCTTCGGATATACCATGTATCTGTTTGAACCATTGCCATTGTTCTTTTTTTGAATTATCAACATAGCTTTAATGTTTGTAGTGTAAGACCCTGCCAACTTTATATATTCTCCAACTTCCACGTTTGAGAGTTATTACCATAATATTTATATGCCTTATACTAAACTTTCAAAAATATGTACATTAAAATGGCGAAGGAGTTTGTGGGAATGCATTACTAAACTAATATAATGTGGTTCGCAATAATTGCATATATGAACTATCACAAGTAATTTAGAACAAAAAGAATGCTAAAATTTAAGGAATTAACTAATAAGGAATATTTAGAAAATTTAAATACAAATAAAATCACATTTGTATTCGAACATTTAATGTATAGTAGTAATATTTACGAATTATAGTGTAAGAGTAAAAATGAATATCACCTAGATTAAAACTAATCATGAAACAGTTTAGAGAAAAATATTATAGCTATATTGCTATAATCAGGTTTACAATAATTGCTAAGTGAACTATCGCAAGCAATTTAGCACAATAAGGACTAATAACAATTCATGAATTAATTAATAATGAACATGTTGAAAAATGTACATTTAATGCAATACCATTTATATAGAATTTTATACTATATAGTAGCAATTACGAATTAATGACCAAGTAATAAGGAATCTTACTTAGATTTGCATATATTTTTGTTATACGAAAATTATAGTTTGATATTGGTTAATTAAATATACACTTAATTAATATTTCCTAAGAAAATCATATTTTATAGTTTGACTTTGGTAGTTATACAGATTTTTCAACTGTATTTAAAATTAATTAAAATTAATTAATTACAATTCCAAAGCTTATTATAATAATTTAAAACATCTCTAAGGTAATATAAATAATTTATAAATTTATCTATAATTTTATAAATGATTTATAAATATGCATGAAATTTATTAAACATTAATAGTTATTATGATACTTTATATACAAATATAAGGCTTTCTATAAGAATATAAAATCATTATATCAATTCAAATAAAAAATTTTGTTTATTATTTTATGTAATTTATAAATATATAAAAAATTTGATCACGTTATTACTCTTTCATAGTTTCAACAATTAGTTACCATAAATAGTTATCTCTTAAATTAAGTAGATTATTTGGAAAGTTGTAATTGAGTTATCCTTAAGATATAATTATAATAAATGAAATTAAAAATTATCGACCAATCAAATTATAACAATTTGAAGAGTCCACTCATGCACGTAATAAAAAAACACTTATGTTGTTTCTCAATCAATATATAGTAGGTTTTATCTTTTTTTATAAATAATTTATAACATTTTATAACTTATTTTAAAGTTCAGATAAATTTATTCTTTAAACAACGCTAAATAATTTTAAAATAATATTAATAAAGATGCTTGATTTTGTAATATTTAAAATAGTTATTATATAATTATATTCGAATACAATTCATCAAGTAGAGTATAAAACTATTATAATTATCTTATATAAAATTTCTCTCATTATATTTTATACTTTATAAATATTAAAAGTAATAAATAAAACATTATTAATCTTTCTATAATTGCGAGAATTAGTTTCCATAAATTGTTATTTGTAATATTCTTTAGATTATATGGAAAAGGATGTTAAATGATTTTAGACTTACCTTAAATTTTTAGATCTAAATTAAATAAATAAAAATTAAAAACAATCGACCAATCAAATTATAACAATTTCTTGAAATTTCACCTATGAACGACACGTCACGAGAAATCACTAAAGTGACTTCTCTTTTAATATATAGGAGGATGTGATTCATTTTGCTACTTTTCATGGTTTGATCTTTTTTTTTTTTTGTTTATGGCCATTTGATTAAATTTTCATTTAATAAAACCTTTTTATTACTTTTCTCCAACCAGAAAGGAAAACAATTAATACAATGTTCTTTTATTTATTACGTTGGGTTGGGATCAGTTATACATTTTAGTATAGCATTGGCTACAAACAAAAAACATATATAGATGAGGTGGTTGATGCATGGGGACAAACCAATAAGACATTAAAGAAGATGCTTAACCAATGTAAACTGGGGTTGGGGAGCTTAACCAATCAGCGCTATGGTCTCTAATTTTCCCAATGGTACCATGAGCAGATGAGGAGATATGTGTACGTGTATGGCTTCGAGCTGTGAAACTGTTTGTTGGCCCCATTGTGATTAAGAGGATATATGAGATTTTTCACTAACACCACTCGTTTTCGAGCACGTTTGTCACCATGCTGATTAGGTATGTATGTTTTATTTAGTACCGTTGGCTTTTCATTTTTGTATATATTCTTGTAAATTTTGAATCATGGTTTACGTGCTGTATAGTAAATGGGCTTATTCTGAATCAAGGTTTATATATGCTTGAACTATAATACTGCGAATGGCTCAATAAGTAAGTCAGTTATAGAAGCAATTTTTTTTTAAAAAAAAAAAAAGAGATCTTAAATTTCTATCTTTCTAATTAATGAGTGCTTACATAAGTCTCTTGAAGGGGTTTATTTGGTTGATTGTATTAGTTTGATATGTAAATGAAAATAAAATCCATCTTTATTAATTATGCTAATCGAGTTTGACCTTTAAGTCTTAATCAACTAAAATATGATCGAGGTCTATGAAAATTAAACGAACAAAGATGTTTATATCAAATCTGCGCCAAAACTATAAAAAAAAAAGTAGGTCGAAGTACTCATCCATTTATTTATTTAGTTGCGATCGGATACATGGACTCATATAAGCAGGATGCATGGGAACAACAACACATGAAGAAAGATGCTTAATTAGTACTTGTAGTAGAGTGGATTAGGGAGCTTGAAAGTCCTTCTTCCAGGGGTGTCTTTATCCAAATCAGCCCACAGGTCTCCAATATTCCCAATGATAGTGTGGCCACGCCTCTGCAGCTTCTTCCTCTCCTTTGACTTGAAGTTTGCTATATTAGTGTTCGAACCCGTTGGCCTGTGTTTCCACATTTACATAATTAATATCCTCCATTCAAATCGTATATGATAATATTACTGTATATGATTAAGCTAGTTAAAGTAATTATTCTTACTTGAATAAGACTTGTCTCCAATAGGTGAAACCAGCAGCTTCGAGATTCTTTAGAGTGACTTCAGCCAAGTCTTGGTAACGCTCAGTGATTAAGATAGGCTCAATCCCGAGTTCTTGAATGTTTTGGTAAAGATGCAAAGTCTCTGGGAGCACTGGAGATTCTCCGGCCTCCAGCCACTTCTTGAACGCATTGGGGTCTACCTTCTCTGTCCTAAAAACCCCCAAAAAAGTAGTTGTACATGAAATCACAATGTAGTCATGGAGACTGAAGTCATGAGAAATTAAAATCATCTATACTATTAAAATTGAAGTACAAAAATAAAGTGTTTGGAAACATGAATAAGAAAATTTTAAAAGTTTGATTGGAAACATGGATATCATACAAATTTAATGAGCTTACTTATTATACTAAAGATTACTGCGACCCAAGATACCATTATTATTGTTTTTGGATTTTCTATCATTTATATTACTTTACTTCTAAAAATTATTTCTACATATATGTATTCATGTTTTAAATGTATTTAGAATAAATCAAGAATAATATATATTTTATTTATATAATTTATATTGACTATTCTTATAAGTTTTTAACAGTGATATACTAGCCTTCCAATTCTTCATTAAAAATTAAATTAAAATTTTGACTAAATTATTAAGTGTATATAACTTTACACCAAATTTAGTCAAAAAACTTTTTGAAATATTACTAAAATGTTTACGGGTCACAATATTTTAAGACGCCCCTGTTACACAATACAATAATGAAATACAATATTTAAACAATATACTATTACTTAGTAAAATTGGCACCATTAAATTGTAATTTTGAAATGTTATATATACCATAAAAACAAAGACCCGCCCAGTCGGGCGGGTTATGATCTAATTACAATTAAATTAAAAGGTGGTGGTGTTAAAATCACGGGGACCTATAATTCTATATACTATCAAAATAAAGTTTTAGAAGATCAATACCAATGTTTCATTTGGATATGTTAATGACTGATTTTGTTCGTGGATACTAGAAGTCATGCATGAGAAGTGAAAATTCATACAATGAAATTAAAAATGTGTATTTCTATATGTTGACATCAGATAGGTACTATGTGGTGGTGTACGTTGAACTAATATTAATATTAATATGTGTTATACCCGTATCCATATTGAGCGTAAAATGGAACATTAGAGAGGAGGGTGTCGTCAAGGTCAAAGACCCAAACATTGACGGTGTTATTCTTCAAAGCAAGTCCTTTGGCGTAGAAATAAGCTTCTTTGCACACCGTTTTGGAGTCAGCACGGTACTGGTCGGAAGTGAGGTAGTCTTCAACATAGTCTTTGCAATTTGCGGGCACTGTTTTGAAGTTTAAGATGTTAGCGGTCTCAACACCAAGGTGCCAGCTTCTGCAGTTGTGGTAGTTGATGGCGAGTTGTTGTTTCTCTAAGACTTCGGCTTCTGTCTCAATGATGTCGGTTGATGTGAGGAGTTCAATGAGCTTAGGAACATCAGGTAGCGAAGGCCGAGCTTGGGAGACTGTAGCGGCCAAGAGCAAGAGAAGTGAAAGTGAGAGGATTTTCATTTTCTTTTTCTTTTGGTATGATTTATTGTTTTAGTTGTGATGTTTATTAGTGTGGTACAAAGAGTGGTATTTATAGTAAGGCGAGGTTAGGTTTACGGTATCATTACTTATGATGAAACGATAATTAAGAAATGAGGAGAAAAGTGGACGTGTATGGCTTTGAGTGATGCAAATGTAATAGTAGATGAGATTTTCATTTGTACCACTTGTTTTTGGAGCACGTTGTGTAGTGTGTGGATTTGAGTGATGCAAATTTAATGATTGATGAGATTTTTCATTAGCATCAACAGGGCAATAATCTGGGCCCCTAAGCAGAAAAGAAAGTTTTGGCCCATAAATAATTATTTTGGAAAAAAATATCCAAAATCCCTCACCTGTCCTTTGAACCAGTGACCATAGAGATCTTAATATAGACTAGTACCAACTCTGCTGTAGAGACCAATTGGGAAATTTGACCCCTAAAATTACATATTCAATTTTTGGCCCCAAGCAAATGCTTGACCAGCTTATGGTCAGGCACGGCTCTGAGCATCAAGCCATCACTGTTTTTGAGCACGTTGCGACCGTGCTAATTGATTAGGGTTTTAATTTTTTTTTTTTTTTTTTTTAATTTTATCGACTACCATTGGATTTTTGTCTATAGTATGCTTGTGAAATTTTGAACTAGGGATATATGTATTTGAATAAAACTCATTATTGTGAAGTTGTTTCGCAGTACTAGAAACAATATTACTCGTCGCAAGTGGGGTTAATTAAATGGCTTAGCCGCTTAGGTATTAAAGAGGATTAAGCTGCATGTTTTAAAACCCCACTATGAATCGGTTACCAAATCACCAAATAAGGACCGGTTACTTCCTTATTAATTACTTTCCATTTAATTAAAACACTGTTTTTTTTCTAAAACCCCATTTAAGAAACCGCAGTAATGGTGTTCTAAAAGCAGGTTTATCGCCTGACAAAAGGAGGTGCTTAGGCATTAGGGCCCCATCAAAACCATAAGCTTCACGCCTATAGTGCTAATATAAGCGTTCAGTTTTTGTTGGTGCTTCAACTATTTGCGGGCTCCACTGATATGTGGCAGTCCACGGTTGGTTGTTTTTAATTTTTTTTTTTAAATTAGAAATGCAAAAAAAAAAAAAATTTAAGCGTTCCCTTTACATATTTGCCGCGATAAACTTGCTCTAAGGCTTCAGTACTAGTTGTAGGTTGATAATAAAACTCTCGTCCAATGATTCATCATGCTAAACTTGCAGACAACGTATTGCAAGACAACTTAGTCACCTATAATATTATAATGGTCGTACAAACAGCGAAACATATATATTAGAAAACGGAATTCAATTTTCTAAATAAAGTAAAACCTCTATAAATTAATATTCGATAAGTTAATATAAATTAAATATCTCTATGATATAATATAATTTTATAGTCCCAAATTAAATTTTTGGTTCATTTAGTATATCAGTAAATTAATATCTCTATAAATTAATAAAAAAATTTGGGTATAATATCAATATTATTAAATTAATTTATAGAAGTTTCACAGTAATATAGAAGATTTGGGCACGGAGATGATTTGATCGTGTAAATCAAAGAATAACTATTGACTAGTATGTCACATGAGTAGTGGAATATCGGAAGAGTGGGATCCGTTATACATTTTAGTATAGCATTGGCTACACACAAAAAACATAAATGAGGTGGTTGACGCATGGGGACAAACCGATAAGACATTAAAGAAGATGATTAACCAATGTAAACTGGGTTAGGGAGCTTAACCAATTAGCCCATTGGTCTCCAATTTTCCCGATGGTACCATGAGCAGATGAGGAGATAAGTGTACGTGTATGGCTTCGAGTTGTGAAACTGTTTGTTGGTCCCATTGTGGTTAAGAGAATATATCAGATTTTTCACTAACACCACTCGTTTTTTTTAGCACGTTTGTCACCATGCTGTATACTATGTTTTATTTACTACCGTTGGCTTTTCATTTTTGCATATATGCTTGTAAATGTTGAATCATGATTTATGTGCTATATATAGTAAATGGGCAATTTTGAATCAATGTTTATATATGCTTGAATTGTTAATACATCAAATGAGTTATAGAAGCACTTTTTCAAAAAAAAAAAAAAAGAATTATGACTTAGTTCTATCTTTCTAATTACATAATGAGTGCTTACATATAAATCACACTGTTGAAGGGGATTATTTGACTGTTATTTTATTTTAATATGTAAATGAAAAAAAAATTCATTTTTTATGCTAATCGATGTTAACTTCTAAGTCTTAATTAACTAAAATATGATTGAGGTCTATATGAAAATTAAACGAACATAGATGTTTACACTTTATATCAACTCTGCGCCAAAACTATAAAAAAGTAGTACAAAGTACTCATCCATTAGACACCCCCCTAATGGTGTTCTCAAATGTAATGTCGGCTCCTTATGGCTAACCTTAAATCATATCAGTGGTGCTTCATGAATTCTATGGGATGAAAATGGGCGACACTCATGTACAGTCGACGCGCCTATTCATGTATGCGAACAAGAACAGAGGCAGATTTATGGACGTTTTTCTGGACGGTTGAATGCTTACATAACCTCCATTTCTCAAATATAATTTTTGAGACGTCTTCAGAGAGCCTCCATAACCTTCTCACACAGCATGCCGATCACCACAACCTCAGCCTTCCGTGACACAATATTTCCTTTCTTCTCACAAGGATAAATTCATGGAGTCTGGATCACGTTCATCCTGAATGCAATGAGGCTACTACAAAATTGCTATGAGTGTCACTCGTGATCTGCGCCATCAGTCATACATTGTCCGAAATGCACCGGTTTGGTTTCACCACTTATTCGCTTCAGAGGCTCAACAATGATGAAAGTTGGTGAGATCATTTTCTTTTCAGATAAGATGTCTACCGACATCCTCTTTTTATATCATTTCTTTTTCCTATAATGTATTCTTGCGAACTGTGTAACTATTAAAGTGTTAAAAAAAAGTACTCATCCATTTATTTAATTATTTAGTTGCGATCGGATACATGGACTCATATTAGGTGGATGCATGGGCACATCAAACACATGAAGATCGATGCTTAATTAATACTTGTAGTAGAGTGGATTAGGAAGCTTGAAAGTCCTTCTTCCAGGGGTGTCTTTAACCAAATCAGCCCACAGGTCTCCAATGTTCCCAATGATAGTGTGGCCACTCTTCTGCAGCCTCTTCCTCTCCTTTGACTTGAAGTTTGCTATATTAGTGTTCGAACCCGTTGGCCTGTGTTTCCACATTTACATAAATATCCTCCATTCAGATCGTATATGAAATATTACTGTATAACATTATTAAGCTAGTTAACTTAGTTATTCTTACTTGAATAAGACTCGTCTCCAATAGGTGAAGCCAGCAGCTTCGAGATTCTTAAGAGTGACTTCCGCCAAGTCTTGGTAACGCTCAGTGAGTAAGACAGGCTCAATCCCGAGTTCTAGGATGTTTTGGTAAAGATGCAAAGTCTCTGGGAGCACGGGAGATTCTCCTGCCTCTAGCCACTTCTTGAACGCATTCGCGTCTACCTTCTCTGTCCTAAAAACCAGAAAAAAAAGTTTTACATGAAATCAAAATGTAGTCATGGAGGCATGGCTGACCCTAAGATTTTGGAAGCATAAAACAATTTAGTAAAGGTATTATTAATTTGGAAACATATGGTTATATATTTTGTTTTAAAAATTTGGAAACTCAAAACCAATGTTTTACTTGGTTATGTCCAGGATCACTTCTGTCTTTATGTAGACTTAAGTCATGCATGAGAAGTTAAAATACATATACAATAAAATTTTAAAATATGTATTTCTATATGATGGCGTCAGATAGGTACTATGCGAATACAAACAGTCTTATGTGGTGGTGTATGTAGAACTAATATTAATAGTAATATGTGTATATATATATATACCCGTATCCGTATTGAGCGTAAAAGGGAACATTAGAGAGGAGGGTCTCGTCTAGGTCAAAGATCCAAACATTGACGGTGTCATTCTTCAAAGCAAGTCCTTTGGCGTAGAAATAAGCTTCTTTGCACACGGTTTTGGAGTCAGCACGGTACTGGTCGGAAGTGAGGTAGTCTTCAACGTAGTCTTTGCAATTTGCGGGCACTGTTTTGAAGTTTATGATGTTAGCGGTCTCAACACCAAGGTGCCAGCTTCTGCAGTTGTGGTAGTTGATGGCGAGTTGTTGTTTCTCTAAGAGTTCGGCTTCGTTCTCAACGATGTCGGCTGATGTGAGGAGTTCAATGAGCTTAGGAACATCAGGTAGCGAAGGCCTAGCTTGGGAGACTGTAGCGGCCAAGAGCAAGAGAAGTGAAAGTGAGAGGATTTTCATTTTTTTGTTGCTATGGTTATTGTTTTAGTTGTGATGTTTATTTGTGTGGTACAAAGAGTGGTATTTATAGTAAGGTGAGGTTAGGTTTACGGTATGATTATTTATGATGATATGATAGGAAATGAGGAGAAAAGTGGACGTGTAGGGGTTTGAGTGATGCAAATGTAATAGTAGATGAGATTTTTCATTTGTTCCACTCGTTTTTGGAGCACGTTGTTTAGTGTGTGGCTTTGAGTGATGCAAATTTAATGATTGATGATATTTTTCACTAGCATCACTCGTTTTTTGAGCACGTTGTGACCGTGCTAATCGATTAGGGTTTTAATTTATTTATTTTTAAAAATTTGTATTGACTACCATTGGCTTTTTGTCTAGTATATATGCTTGTGAAATTTTGAACTAGGGGTATAGGTGTTTGTAGGGGTGGACGTTCGAGTATCCGTTCGGGTTCGGATCGGGTATTTCGGTATTGGGATTTAAGATCCGTTCGGGTATTTTTACATATCGGGCCAGATTCGGATATTTTTAGTTCGGATTTGGTTATTTCGGGTCGAGTTAGGATATTTAGATTTTAAAAGAAAAATTTCAAATTCTTCATTACTTAAGTTTCATGTATTTAAAATTTA